GTTAATTAAATGTCAATGTTAACTTGACAAACGGATTCTATCCATAAAGCTCACTAAATTACTGGTGGGTAAAAAATTAACAGGTGGTTGCCCTGTGCTTGGAGCAGATGTAAAGGAGAATTCTTAATGAATAGTGTCGACACCAAACATGTGGTGTCGGCACCAAACCTATGTCAGGAATTATTTGTGATTTTAGGAAAAATTAATTAAAATTAAGATAAAATAAATTAATAAATAAATCTTAAAAAAATTGAAGTAGTGTACCGAATCTTTTTTAAATAGCTTCTTAATAATTAAAATAATAATATTTTTATATCAATTTAAATATTAAAAAATCATAAAAAATTTAAATTTTTACTTTATTTTTCATGATTTATTAAGAAAATTATACAATTTTAAAAAATAATTTGTCATAGAAATATTTTTATTTGTTATTTTCATAATATCGAGATAAAATTATTTATTTTATTTTTATTATTTTTTTGTAAATAATAATATTATTATTAATTTGAATATAATAAATACTTAATCTTTATAATTCATCTTAAGATCCATCTACTTTTAATCTGCTGTTACACTTTACCATAAACTTAAATCATAATTTTTAATAAGAGTTTTTATCCATTACTCAAGGAACAATTTTTATCCATCATTTATTTATTTTTAACGGTACCTGAAACACCAATCAAATCTCTATGGGTGATGAAAAAAATGACCTTTCCAAAAATAAAAGGCAAAGGTGAGCATGGAGCATGGCCTATGGTCTTTAGTCTTGTTTTGGATTAAATTTTGTAGGGGCCTTTTGATTAGAAGAAAAGGTTTTTTATTGTTATTTATTTTTAATAATTAAATTAAATAAAATAAATAATTTTTAAAATTATATTATGTGACCTAAGGCAACCCGGACCACCCCTCAATCCTGTTTCATTTATCTACGGTGATGATATGCCATCTCCTCAAAATTCAATTATGTTTTTTTCTGATGATAAAGATGAAAGCTTGATTTTTCTTATCACCTTATTTTTTAAAAATCAAGTCAGCTGAAGTCAAGTCAGTAACAACTCTTCATCAACTTGTACGCGTTATCCTATTTTGAATTAAATTTTGTGAGGGCGTTTGATCAAAGGGAATGATTTTTTTACTGTTATTTATTTTTAATAATAAAATAAATAAATATTTTTTTTGATAAGAGTAATGGTTAAGAAGTTAGTAGAGTTAGATGTTAGCAACTGAAACTTCTCAGAATAGTGAACATTTCACCCCTCAGATGAGACGCGCGACCATTAGGTCGCAAGTTACCTCCCGCCTCACCCAAGCCCTAAGGCTCGGGGCCAACCACTGGTCACAGGCCCAGTTGACAATATTTATTTTAATTATATTGTGTGACCTTAAGTCACCCTAACAATTCCCGTATGCTGTTTCATCCATTTGCAGTGATGATTTGTCATCCTCTTATGGTTCAATTATGTCCTTTTTTTTTTTTATGATAATGATAAAGGCTCGATTTTTCTTGTCATCTTATTTTGAAAAATCAAAGTCAACTAAAGTCAAGTCAGTGAGCACTTTCCATCAACTTCTAATCTTTGTCCCACTTTGAATTAAATTTTCTGAGGGCGTTTGATCAAAAGAAAAGGTTTTATATTATTATTTCCTAAAAAAGAAAAAGGTTTTATATTATTATTATTTTTAAATATTAAATTAAATTAAAATTTTTAATTATATCGTGTGACCTTAAGTCACCCAACT